TGAAGGGTGAATATCTTTCCGTAATTCCCGAGTTAATAGTTTAACCGCCAAAATTCTCACGAGGCCTTACTTGATACTAAATAGCGAGGGAACGCTGAATTTGAAAAGGCAAGGCTGAGCATGGCAGGGGATTATTACCCTAAAATTTCAGCTTCCTAGACCCTGTGGTTCCCGGGATAATAAATTACCCGTAAAAATTTTCACTAGCCTGTAGGTGATACCCGAGAACGCGGGAACGCTGAATTTAAATGGGCAAGGTTGTGCGTGGGCAGGGGGTTATTACCCTAAAATTTCAGCCTCCTGGACTTCATGGTTACTGAGATATTAATTTACCCGCAAAAAACTTTCGCGGGGCGATACGTGTTACCCGCGGGTATGGGAAGGCTGAATTTGAATGGGCAAGGTTGAGCGTAGGCAGGGGGTCATTACCTTAAAATTTCAGCCTCCTAGAATCCGCGGTTCCTGAGATATTGATTTACCCATAAAAAACTTTCACTGGGCCGGACGAGTTACCCGCGGTACGGGAAGGCTGGATTTAAATTTGCTGCGTCACCAGTTGGCGGGTAACACTACACCAAAATTTCAGCCACCTAACTTTTGTGGTTCCTGAGTTGAAAGTGCGGGACAAAATGTGGGACACAAACACAAACAGCCCCGTGACAATATGCGTTTTATAACGCTGTTACACAGCACAAAACGCATAAAAAATGCCAAACACGGTAAGCGCTAATACTATGACAAATTTTACCTGCATATCTTGCCTTTTACGCAATTCTTCAAATCCTCGAATTGGATACGGGAGCAATTTTTCAGGATCCGGATTTTCTTGGACTGCTTGCTGCCACACTTGTGCATCAAAACCTAAATGAGGGAGTTAAATGATTTACTTTGTACTAAGCACCGGAATTTATCTCAAAGGCACACACCTGCTGGTGGATTTTTGATGAAAATGCGCATTTTTGCATCATCCATTGTTGTACGGGATAACACATTCACCACGCACAGCTGATTTTTTAACTGTGCTTCTTGCGTTGGCTGTTTGAGATAAGCGCATAATTCTTTGCTTCCTGGCCTTCCTCTACCTTTCTCCGTCGCATACATCAGAACCTAGAAATTTTCAAACGTGGAAATTCAATTCCATATGGACAAAAGCACTATGAAATTTTTCCCGGTTTTCTTTCCTACCCATATAATGGGCTCGTGTGCTGTCGTAGATGAGGCTATTCTCCCTATATTTCTACTAGTGACACACGTTATGGAGATGCCAGCAGATGAGCTGAACAATTACATATGTAATATGTCCCTTCTGAAAAACAAAAGAAGCAGAAAGACCGTCCACCAGCTGATAAACAGAGCGTAAAACAGAATTCAGTGGCAAGGTGGATCGTAAGAGAATTTTCTTGAATATAAAATTTTTTCACCGAAATATGCAACACATTCATCATGCAGAGGGGGCCATCCGTGTCTACCCTTCGCCCTCACTCAACGAAAAGGAATGGGAGCTATCAAAGTGGTATCCACACGTTATAGCATCTAAAAATCAGCAGTAAATGTTTCCCGTCCTTCCCTGCCAATAGGTAAAAAAGTTCATCGTGACCGCCCCGTAACCGCAAAAGCTACGATCGAAAACTAGAGAGAGTGCGAAACGAGTTAATGTGTAAGAGTGAGATTCTATTAGTGAGATTAGAAAAAAAGGCTTGCTTCGGTTTGATTTTCCGGAAGTGGCCGAATAAGTTCGATGTGCGCCCGTACGTTGGTATTGTTGCCCAATATGACATTCATTGTATCCAGAAATTTTTGTCTCTGCGCCACTGATGACAGCTGCTCGTAGTTAACGCCCAAAGTTAGCGCCACAATACCGTCACTGTTGCAATAATCACTTCGTCTGAAAACAATCAATTCATTACAGTCAAAAAACGAGCGCAAATGCAGCAGTCACAGACAACGTTTTTAGTAATGCATCTGTTCTCGTAGCTTCACCGAATGAACTCATCCAGACAGTTCTTTGAGCTCGGCTAATTGCTGCGGATTAGACAAGAAACCTCACTGATAAGTAAGATTTTAAATGAGACATGACTCAATGCAGTATTCCATCTAAACATAATTGAATTGCCAAACAAAAAGAGAAGTAGTCGCTGAGGCAGCAAATGCCAGCAGCAATCACCTGCTGGTAAGGGTGTCGATGGCTCCCAATTTCAATTTGTTTACAAGCAAGCTGATGGCGGGTCTGACTTCTTCACAAATGCTACTATCAATTTATTATCGAAGCGAATGGACAAATCATGGATGGACCCAGCAACGGAGCCGAACCTTCGAACTAATGCGTGACAGCAGTGCTACTTCAATATGCCATACCTGCTGACGATGTACGATTATTTCGAAATGGAAAAATTGAAAATGAACAGTTCTAAGAAGAACGCTTGATAAAAACTAATCAAAAAAGTCATTCAGATTCTTCCGAAATTAAACACTTATGATGTTGATTATAAGGATGCTTTCCAAATTTGACTGAACTATCGCGTAATAGCGTAATATATCAAATAGTGATTAATGGTTTTTTGTAAAAAAATAGATTAAAGACCAAATGCGTTACTATGACGCAGTACCCCTGTCCCTGGTTCAAACTTTAATCGCCCTACCCTCACTGAACT